CATCAAAAAAATAGATAATCAAAACAGCAAAATAAAAAAAATAAAAATACTTAAAATAAAATAATATAAGCATAAATTAAACTTAATGGGACGTTGGTGTTGCTAGAATGGCAATGTAAAAAAAATACTATGAGGGTTTAAAAAAATCAATCTATGCAAAATTAATTTTACCTTAAAATGCAGAATCAAAAAAAAATTACATAGTTGAAAATAGCAAACTGTTAAGAAGAAATGTATGAAGGACTTGAGAGTATTCAACTGATATAAATGTTTTCATATCAATGTAGCAATACACACATATCATTTTAACAAAAATTCAAGTTTCACAGTCATAACAAAACTTTTTAAGTAGAAATCGACATTCCAAGCTCGCTACGAATAAAATTGAAGCGATCCTCGCTTATGAATTTTGTGAAAATATTCGCCAATTGCTTGTCGGTGTTTACAAATTCAAGTATAATATCCCTTTTTTGAATGATCTCTTAAAAAATAATGTCGAATTTCAATATGTTTTGTTCATGAGTGTTGAACCGGATTTTTGCTTAAATTGATGACACTAGTATTATCACATTTAATAGAGATATGATCATAATGCAAATCAAAATCCTCCAATTGTTGTTTCATCCAAAGTATTTGGGCACAACAATTTCCGGAAGCTATATATTCAGCTTCGGCAGTTGATAAAGCAACAGAATTTTACTTTTTGCTAAACCAATACACTAATGAGTTACCAAGAAAGTGACAAGTGCCACTGGGGCTTTTTCTATCAAGTTTGCATCCAGCAAAGTCAGCATCCGAGTAACTAATTAAATCAAATGCAACACCTCTAGGATAAAACAGTCTCAAATTTTGAGTGCTAATAAGATATCTAAAAATTCTTTTAACAACACTGAGATGTGATTTCTTAGGATTTGATTGATATCTAGCATACATACAAACACTAAGCATAATATCGGGTCTACTTGCAGTTAAATAAAGAAGTGAGCCGATCATACTTCGATATTTTGTTTGATCAATGGACTTACGTTTTTCATCCTTGTCTAGCTTAATGGATGTGCTCATAGGTGTTCCAGCTATTTTTGAGTCATACATACCAAACTTTTTGAGTAGTTCTTTTGTGTACTTAGTTTGGTTGATAAAAATTCATTATTTACATTGTTTGATTTGAAACCCAAGAAAATAATTTAGCTCTCTCATCATGTTCATCTCAAACTCACCTTGCATACACTTAGCAAATTCCTTACACAAGGTTTCATTGGTAGCACCAAATATAATATTATCCATATATATTTGCACAATAAGTAAATCATCATTTTTAATTTTAACAAAAAGTGTTTAGTCAATCGTTCCTCTAGAAAAATTATTTTCAATCAAAATTTTACTTAATCGTTCATACCATGCATGAGGTGCTTGTTTCAAACCATATAAAGCTTTTGATAGTTTAAAAACATGATTTGGAAAAACATGATCTTCAAAACTTTGGGGTTGTTTAATATAAACTTCCTTATTTATAAAACCATTAAGAAAGACACTTTTTACATCCATTTAATAAAGTTTGAAATCTCTAAAACATGCAAATGCAAGTAACATGCGAATGGCTTCTAATCTAGCAACCGGAGCAAAGGTTTCATCGAAATTAATACCTTCTTCTTGATTGTATCCTTGTGCAACAAGTCTAGCCTTGTTTCTTATAATTATGCCGGATTCATCAAGCTTGTTTCGAAAGATCCATTTGGTATCAATAATGGTATGATCTTTAGGTTTTGGCGCAAGTTCCCACACTTTGTTTCTCTCAAATTGGCTAAGCTCTTCATGCATAGCTATCATCCAATGTTCATCGAATTCGGCTTATTGAAAGTTTTTAGGCTCAATCTGTGAGAGAAAAGCCAAGTTACTACAAAATATTTCTAAGTGAAGAGCGAGTTTCAATACTTTTTGTAGGGTCACCTAGGGTTAAATCCTTAGGGTGATTATGAACAAACTTCCATTCTCTTAGTAAATCATCATTGTTTCCTCCTTCTTGAGGTAAGAAAATAGGTTGTTCAATCTCTTTGTTCAACTTACATGGTTGGTTCTTTTCTTTGTAGATACTTGAATCTTCCACATTTGGTTCTAAATCTATATTATCACTAACAATTTGCTTTTGAACAGAGATGTTAGTTTCTCAAATGCCACATGTATAGATTCTTCTACAACAAGAGTTCTTTTATTAAAAACACGATAAACTTTGTTAGTTAAGGAATAGCCAAGAAAAATTGCTTCATTAGATTTTGAATCAAATTTACTTAAGTTATCCTTAACATTATTATACACAAAACATTTACAACAAAAAACATGCAAGTGACTAATGTTGGGTTTTCTATCTTGTCAAAGTTCATAAGGAGTCTTTTTGAGAATAGGTCTAATTAATGCACGATTTAAAATATAGCATGCGGTGTGAACGGTTTCGGCCCAAAAATATTTAGGAAGATTATTTTCGTAAAACATTGTTTTACTCATCTCTTCTAAAGTTCTATTCTTCCTTTCTACTACACCATTTTGTTGAGGGGTTCTAGGTGCTGAAAAATAATGTCCAATACCATGCTCATCACAAAACAATTCAAATTTCTCATTTTCAAGTTCTCTACCATGGTCGGTTCGAATATTAGTAATAAGAAAACCTTTTTCATTTTGAATTCTACGACAGAGTTTTGTGAAAGAAGAAATTGTTTCATCTTTGTGTGCTAAAAATATAACCCGTGTAAATCTTGAATAATTATCAACAATAATAAGACAATAACGTTGACCACCTAGACTAGATGTCCTTGAGGGACCAAATAAATCCATATGCAATAGTTATAAAGGTCTAGTTGTGGAAATATGAGATTTGGATTTAAATGATATTTTAGTTTGTTTTCCTTGTTGACAAGCACTACAAAGATGATCTTTTTCAAATTTAATTTTTGGAAGTCCAATGACCAAATCCTTTCTCAAAAGTTTAGCAATTAAATCCATATGAGCATGACCAAGTCTTCTATGCCATAACCAACTATTTTCATTATTAACATATAAACATTTAACATCACTAGCATAGAGATCATTAAGATGAAAAACATAAACATTACCGTGACGACTACTAACGAATAAAGCTTTATGATCATTTGTGTTTTCAATTGTGCAATGTGATCTATCAAAAATAACTCGATTACCTTTATCACATAATTGACTAATACTAAGTAGGTTATGCTTAAGTCTATCGACAAGTAAAGCATTTTCAATAGAAGGGTTAGGAGAAATACCGATGCTACCAATACCGATGATTTTTCCTTTCTTGTTGTCTCTAAAAGTAACAAATCTTCTATCTTTCGATGATAATTTAGTAAAGAATGATTTATCTCCGGTCATGTGTCTGGAACATCCACTATCAATGTATCACTTCCCTTCTTTAGCTTTGGACTTAAAACAAACCTGCAAGATGACAATCAAGTGTTGATTTTTGGTATCCATAGCTTCTTGGGTCCTTCTTGGTTAGTTTTGTTAGATCCCTAACAATCCAAATCTTTTTAATTCCCATGTTTATATTATTTTTGAATGGACAAGAAGATATATAATGGCATTTCTTTCTGCAATAATAACAAGTAATATGAGGGTGAGTCATGAGAGGTGCCTTTTCAAAAATTGTATTGAGATTCTTTTATTTTTTAATAGGGTCATATCCAATACCCGCCTTATCAAAAATACATCTTTGATTTTCAATAAGCATTTTAAGATTAACTCTACCTTTTACAAAATTTTCAAGTATTTTTGTTAAATCATCAACATTGTTTTGTAAAACAATTTTCTCATTAGAGATGGTGTCAAAATCATTTTTCAAAACAATTTTTTCTTTCTTTAATTCTTTTACATTAATAGATAAAGATGCAATAGATTTCTTCAATACATTATTTTTGGTACAAACTTTTCTAAATTCATCTTGTAGTTCATGGAATGCACTTTCAAGTTCTTCATAAATAGTAGTTACCTCATTTAGGGATGGCAATTTGAATCCGGCCCGACGGGGACCCGACCCCCCGTCCCCGATAAGAGTGGTTTTTCCCCCGAAAAATATCCCCAACGGCCGGGGATGGCATTTAAAATTAAATCCCCGACTAGTTTCGGGCCAGGGACGGGGATCACTTTTACAGCCCCGTCCCCGGCCCCGTGTTTTCCCCGAAATAAAATTACCATAATGCCCCTATCCATTTATGTATATATATAACCCCCGTGTACAATCTGTGACAACTAATTTGTCCATTATATATATATAAAGTAGAGGAAATCTCACTCTCACCTAGATAATCTCATCACACTTACCCTCACCTCACTCTCTAATCTGTCTCTTTTTCTCTCTTTCTTCTCTCCGTACGCAGTCGGCTGCTCCACCCCTCGTCGCCTCCTGCTGCTCTGCCTCTCGTCACCTCCTCCACTGTCGTCTCCTCCTCCTTCTCCTCTTCCAATCGTCCTCTTCTGTTGTCGCACTCACAGCCACGGTGTTGAGCCACCCATCGCCTCCGAATCTCCGATCGTCCTCCTCCGTCATCCATCGCCACTGTCCGCGACGCCGATCGTCCTCCTTCGTTTATGGCTTACCCACCATCGTCAATCCTCCTTCGTCCACTGTCCGCGACGCCGATTTCAGATCTGTTTGTATTTATTCATGTATGTCTGTGTATCTATCTAATTTTTTATTTATTTATTTATTTTTTATGATCGATTGATGATTGGTGATGATGATGATGTTGTTGTTGTTGATTGTGTTGTTGATTGTGTTGTTGTTGAAACAGGTGTGGGGGCGTGGGAAATTTTCGGGGTCGGGGAAACCCGATCCCTGTTGGAGGGCGGGGATGATCCATCAATTGCCAAACCAAACAATGTTTAAATGAGTACACACAAACACACATGCTTAATAGACACTATCACATGCTTCCATTACGCGTTGGTTCTTGCTACTTTGTTGCTTGCAGGTGCATCAACTCGGAAAATGAATTCAACAGTCTCATATTTTGCATAGTACACAAGAAGAAACGGATCAAATTGCCAATACTACAGGGTTAAATAATGTTCACAATTCTACATTAACTAACACATGGAAAGTCACTTGAATAAGGAATCCTACAATTAAACAAAGCAAAAGGAAAACAAAACAAAACAAAACAAGCAAGCCTAACATTACTCCAGCTTGACATCTGACAGTTTCATCTTTTTAGCTTTCTCAGTGGAAGATCATAGTTTGTACCAGAAACAAGCACGTTAACAACACCACCTGCAGGTTTAACTTCAAAGGTTTTCACCATTCACAACGAACCTAAAGTGAAGAAAAAACTTTATAGTATGACACTGCAACTTCTTGTTTAGGCAGCTGCCAATATCCCACCAGGCAAGCATCTGTAGAAAAAATATAACTCCCACACTAGTGAGCACTTTGCATTTCAATGATGGTCAGGATTATTTAGATAATTTGCATTCTTCGATGAAATTTTGAACTCTTAAAACCTAATTCTTTTTTAATTATGTTGATTGAAAATGTAAAAACTCCATACTGCAGGAGAAAATGACATGTTACAGCACGGTATGTGTTAAACAAAGCATTCAAATCCAGCAACACGAATTTGTCCTTGTTATTTAACTATATTCCGTTAATTATTCATGTTTATTCTATAGCGGCCAGAGCACATTTGTTTTGACCTCCCTCTTATATCCTCATTGCCATCAAGTCAAATGAAATAAAGGATCTGTATCAGTGCAATAATTAACCACCTTTACCTACTTGTTGTCATCAGTTCGTGCAGATTTGCTTTCCAAAGATGTATTTGTTTCTCACTATACCACTTTTATGGCCTCTCATCTATGTCAGGATCCTCATCTAAAGAAAATGTTGTTTCTTTTTCTTCATTATTATTATTATTATTTTGGTTAAAACTATGGAAGAATTATTGGTTCTAAACTGGAAGAAACTGTTGTTTCTTTGACTACCCAACATTTGCCATTTACGTTTTCTACGAAGATCCTCACTTTACAGAAGTTGATAATCACACAAGACTCCGGACTAATACTCCACTTCATCAATTCCTTTGCATTTTGTGGGTTACCCATTTCAACGTACTAATTATTACGAAAAAACAAAATAAAATCCTCTTCAACCACCTCTCCCTTATTGACAACTAACAAAAGATACCACGAGGTCTGAAAAAAATACTTTCAAATACCGCACAATTGTCAATTGACACCATATTAGTTACATTTTATATATTGGTTTTATCCCTATTTCCACTAAATTCCTCAGATTCTAAAGAGACAAATTACATATATACAATCAGTCCTAAGTTTTATCAACCAATGTTTACCTGCTTCTACAAAGAACCACACATGACAGTCATTCTAAATACTGCCTAATAAGGCCATAGACTCGTATAACAAATGGAAAAAGAGAGGCTATTGTGATTAAAGAATCACTTGCCTGTTGCAAATATTTCAAGGAACGTATAAAAGAACTGAATTAGTTTATTTACAAAATATAAATAAACAGAAAGTCACTCACTATCTTAGTATCTTCTGGTTGTCTGGGTTATTTTGAAAACAAGCTCTCAATATAACACTGGAGGATCTAGGAGAGAACCTCAACCTCCCATCCATTTTTTTCTTCCTCATCTCCTACTTTTTGCCCCTTCTTAAAATAGTTAAACTCAGATCACAACCAGGACTTGTATCTGAAACAACTGAACTAGCTTGTATAGCTTTGGATTACTAATAATTTGTTTTGCAAAGGATGAAATATCAATTGGCAGAGCCTTATAAATGTCCAATGTCATTTGTTCAAATTGCTAACAATTTCACATAAAACGGAACTCGATGGCATGTTTAGCAGGTACGTAGCTCTAAATAGACATAACAATGTACCTTTTAGTTATGAGCTGAATTCAGTGCCAAAACTGAGAGCATGACATTCAAGATTTCCCATGTTCAACTGCAAAATAGCCAAGAAAAGAGTTTAGGCATGCATATGCAATATCATCAAACAAAACCTTGCAATCACATTTTAGGCATGCCAAACACAAAATAAGAAGAGTATAAGAATAAATCCCTTGTTAGCTCAAAATTATAAGGGATTGAAGGACAGGAGTTCTAAAAGCAAGATGACCATTTAAAAAAAATGATAAAATTTTAAGTCAGTAGCCCGAACCAAAGTTCAACAAAAATCCACTCCTTTTTTAGTGTTGTATATAAGGCAACTCTGAAAAGGAAAATTACAATTATTTCATGCCAATACAAAAGAACAAAAACAAAAGTTCCCCTAATTTATGAGAGAAACAAAGCCTGAGTGTGCCAAAAAATTAAGAGAGAGAGAGAGAGAGAGAGAGGAAAAAAGAAGAAGATCATGATACTCAAAAGGTTTTGCAAAGGGGAGAAAGACCAGTGAACAGGAAGAGAAAGTCATAAGATAACACCATTATTCTTTATGAAATCATGATTCTCAAAAGGTTTTGCAAAGGGGAGAAAGAACAGTGAATAGGAAGAGAAAGTCAAAAGATAACACCATTATTCTTTATGTTCCTTTCTCTTTTTCTTTTTTGATACTTTACTTGTAACAGTTTCTTTTGGCTGTAGTGGATAATAAGATTACTTCTGCATGCAACCAAACATGATTTACCTTTACCCGAGTCCCAACCCCTGCCATGGGCCGAGAAGACCCTATATTCATGGGTAGATGTCGTCTTCAAGACTAAAAACTCCCAAGGGATTTGAATGAAGTGGAACCGATTTCGAATCAATCGGTCAAATCACTTGACTGCCGAGAGATTCAGAAAAATGGAACGCGGCAAAGTGTTCCATATCGATGGATAATGAAAGCCCTCCAAAGCTATGATCTCTTGCCCCTTTTGCAGTTCAGCACTTGATACCAACCAAGATAACACTTGAGTCAAAGCCAAGTCACCAAATCTATCTTCTTCTTATCCCAAGATGAACCAACAAGTCCTCCGTTAAATGTCTTATAAATCATTTGGGCAACTCACAATAAGTAAGTGCCTCTTTTTCATTTTGTAAGGAATTGTAAGAAACCTTGTTTAATAAGTATAAAGCACTTATCCTAAAACTCAAAAATGTAAATTTTGTTTTTTAATGGTCTACAAAATAATTAACCCATTGAAGCTATTATCACTTTTGGTTTAATGGTTGAATGACTTGAAAGCCTATTATTATCTTTCAGAGGGGGAATGACCTCAAGCACTGGTTTCTTGCTTTTGGAACTAAATCTTCTTTTAAGTTGAGAAGTATACACACCCACAAAATCACATGTCTGCATTATGAGTTTCTCTAGTTTATAATTGCTTTTAAGTTTTTGTGCAGGCAGAGAAGATACAAAAGCTTACCACCACGGCAATTCCTGTCTCACCAAATCTAGGAATGCATATAAGTCTTACCACCTGCCCTTCTGATCCTGCACCAAAGGATTACCATTAATATATTTTTCAGTAAAAAGTTAGAAGAAAATAGTACCACATAAGTCGGGGTTCATAGAAAAGTACCCTTTATTAGGCGAGTCGCATATTTATCCTGATTACCGATAAAGTAAACGTGGGGGCAGCTCTCAATGAAAAAAGGATCCCTATCAGTGAAGGGATAACACCCTGTAAAATACAGATAACATGATTAGTAGGTTAACCAGACAACACAAGCCATGCACAACTCCATGAGAATAATGTTCAACCATTCAAGTTTTCTAATTATCTTTTTTCAGTAAAGATAGTTTCTGCTATCTCCTCGTCACATTAACTTGCAACTAGTTCAGCATCTGTCTTTGGCCACACAAAATTTTCAAGCCAAACAACTCTGCAGGATTACGAAACAAATTGCAAAAGAAAACAATAGAACTTATAGTAGGATATATAACATATACCAAGGGTGTTCGGTGCTGTTGGCGATATATGCCTCCATCTCAACGTCCGTTCCATAAATTCCAGTTTATCTTTTGCTTCGGAATATTTCTCAAGATCATCAATGTTCTGACCCGATGTTCCAAGAAATCTGAAGATGAGAAAACCAGTGTTGCCATAATTTTTGACTCCTGAAAGTACAAAATTTTGAATAATATATCTTACCTGACATTATCAAGCTCGAAAGAATGAGGATTAGGACAGGACCTAAAAGTGTTATAAGCTGATGACCCCGGGAAAAGGCATCTATGCAAAGGCTGAAAAGCGAGGGATATAAAATGAAATCTATTGCTGCACAGTAAATACATCACTAAATGTACACTCATAGGTCATAAAAGAAACCTGCTGTGGTAAGGAGAAATTTGCGGGGTCATTAGGTCCTGGCATTATATCTAAAGGTACACCAGCTGCAATCTTCACGCAAATATAAAAATTAGGAATCTTGACTTCACACCAATATCAATTTTGCAATACACTAATCCAAGTACCTGAGTCAACAAGATATCCAGTTCTTTGATTGGCTCAGACAATTTAGACTGATCCTTTGAAGCCAAATTCTGTGAAAAAGAAAAAAGAAAAAAGAAAAAGAGTGTCACTAATGGACATGCTGCTGGTGATTTTTGTTGAACAAAATATTAACTCATTAAATTTAGGAGAATCAAAAACTCTAGTAGTTACAAAAGATGATGAGTTTCTAATTCTTCTTGGATTCATAAATTAAATGATAGGTTGGTTTGGAGGCAGTCATAACCAGGGAGAGGAGATTACAGAGGGGGAGCATGCTGAGGCCGCATCGGTGTAGAAAGAGATGTTGCCTTTGACAAGTTGGTTAAAGTAGTAGACAAGGTGGTAGCAGTGATGATGATTTAATAAACATAAGGTGCTGAAATTGCATCTTAAGGAAGCTGTAGTTGAGTGGCACTGAATAATGGAGATTCTGGTGCTTAAATGGTGATGACATTTTTTTAAAATGGTAAAGGCGGTAAAGGCAACAGGTCGCTGGGGATAATGATACTTTTGGTGCATGTGGTTAGATTGGAAGGATCAAAATTTCATTTTAGTATGATGTTTTGGTTAGATTGGAACATGTTGGAAATATAATGAGAATCCTTTTTTTTTTTGTTTTTTGATGGAAACGAATGAAATGTTCGGAAATACAAGCTCAATGATTAAATAATTGAATAGGTCAACACATCCCTTTTATATAAGGTGTACAATACAAGTGTATAGTTTAAAAGTAAATTTAATGTGAGTGTATAATTTGGAAGTGAATTCAATGCGAACAAAGACCAATCAAATTAATGTCAAATAAATCAATGTTATCATGCACATGCATATATGATTCTAAATATATACAAGTTCAAAGAAAATAAGGTTTAAAAAAATATAAAAATAATATAATAACAGTATTAATAGTAAACAAAGGTCAATAGCTATCCAAACCCCAAGGGATTGGCCAGGTGGCAAGGCCTTAGGTCTTGGGTCTTGGGTCTTGGGGGTGCAAGGTTTAGGGATCAAAACCTCTTAGGTGCTAACAATTCCTTGGGGCCATTGGATTGCGGGAAAACCCTTAAATTAATCGTGGTGCACTTGTGAGAAACTCATTACCGAGGGCTTGTGGGTATTAGTCGGGGTTTCATCCGTACACCCCAATGCCAATTAAAAAAAAAGGTCAACAGATATCCAATGTGTGGAAGGTTCTTTGGGCAAACAAGGTTATTATTTTATTTTGTATTTAACAAGATTAAGGATATGGTGTTCAATAAAGGTAAATGAATATTAAAAATTCATAAACAAAAGGTTTCAAAGGTTATCTAGGGAAGGTAGTTCGCCATCGTAATATAAAACATGTGGTCACATTTGGTAATGTTTTTTGTTTTATGTTTTGGAAAACATTAAAATAAAATGAAACTAAAATAAACTGATATGGAAAACTTGTTTGGTAAATTGCTTCCGAAAGCTGTTCTTGGAAATTTTTTTTGCATACACGCATTTTTTAGGAAACACTTTCAAATTGTTTTCACACAAAATGAAAATAATCGGTGCTTCCGAGTTTTTCATATTTTTGTTTCCAAAAAAATAAAAACAAAAAATTTTGAAGCACACTACCAAACAGGGAAAGAAATGCAAGATTCTAGTAGTAGTAGGTAGGGTGCACATGGATTGGTTTAGTTCAGGTTGATCTCCAACAAAGAACCTAACTGACCTACCTCACTTCTCAAAAATCATAACCAAGAACTGCACCCTAACTGAAACAACAAACAAACAAACAAACAAACCAAGCCGATGAAGCTCGGTTTTATTCTTTGGTTTTAAACCATGGGTTAACATGTCACTCATAATTGAGCTGAGTGTTGGGCCTACAAAAAAATTGACATACAAAGACATTATAATAAATAATTTATATAAATACATATATAGAATAGAAAAATAAGAAAACTGGCATATGATTAGAGAAGCACAATTTCGATGGCCTAAAGTTGTTATTGCATCCCCAAGCGAAGGTATTGACAGTCAATCAACAATTCCAAGATTCAACTCAAATCATTGCCAGGCCTTGTAACGTTCACACACACTAGATAGAAGGTATGTAAAACCCTTTATGATAGAAGTTACCCAAAACAATACATGAAATTATGTAGGAAAATTAAAGACGAGAGAGGAAAAGATCTGTGTGTTTCCTGGTGTGGAAAACGTGAGAGAGATCTCATTGCCTTATATAGACAATCAAATATCTATTCATGAAAAAACACACCTCTTGGTTAACGTATGTTTCTCATTAGATAAAACTCTTGGCCAAGGAACTGATACCCAATAACGGTTAAGAAAACAAATAATAAATAAAAAATTAAAAACAAAAACAATTTAAAAATCGTAGCCACGCTACAATGCGGGACAAGCACATTTACTAAACATACACAACTACGTGAAAGTTTTGAAACTTTCTATTCAAGTTCCAACAGGGCCAACAATCAACAAGGCCTAATGAATTGACATTGCTGGATCAAGCTCATAGTTATATGATGACATGCAAGAGAAACAATTTACTCCAAATTGATGTGCGATATGTGAATCATACAAAGATCTGTGAATCCAGAAAAGACATGTGAATCAAGCATATGAAGTCTCCTTTTCACTACATCTAAAACAGTAGAGAATGCATAATGTAGTGGGTGTTTGGGAAGTAAGTTTTTATATAGGTTTTTTTAGTTGTATGATATTATTGGATAAAAAATTTTGGTGTTTGGAAAGATAGTTGGGTTTTTTTGTGGTTGGATGTGATGTTTGCGAGAGAAAAAGTGAAATGATTATGGGATTTGATGTGATATTTTGTTTGGATTTGTTTTTTTTGGTTTTGCAAAAACTATTTTTTAGTGAAAAAAAAAAGGGAGCTTTTTCGATAAATCCTTTTTCTAAGAGTTTTATTCCATCAAATCCATATTCTTTTTGACTATTCTATTAGGTCCTATTTGAGGTAAGAAGACCAAAATATCCTTTTCATCTACTTATGTTCCATTTAGTCCACATTATTTTCTTATATTTCAGTAAGTCCTATGGGTGACATAATTACCAAAATACCCTTAATGTGAATGTTCACACCGTCAATGTGAATGTTCCTATTTGAGGTAAGAAGACCAAAATACCCTTTTCATCTACTTATGCTCTATTTAGTCCACATTATTTTCTTATGTTTCAATAAGTCCTATGGGTGACATAATTACCAAAACACCCCTAATGTGAATGTTCACATTGTCAATGTAAATGTTCGCACCGTCAATGTGAATGTTCCTATTTGAGGTAAGAAGACCAAAATACCTTTTTCATCCACTTATGTTCCATTTAGTCCACATTATTTTTTTATGTTTCAACACATCCTATGGGTGACATAATTATCAAAATACCCCTAATGTGAATGTTCACACCGTCAATGTAAATGTTCCTATTTGAGGTAAGAAGACCAAAATATCATTTTCATCTACTTATGTTCCATTTAGTCCACATTATTTTCTTATGTTTCGATAAGCCCTATGGGTGACATAATTATCAAAATACCCCTAATGTGAATGTTCACATCCTATGGGTGACATAATTACCAAAATAACCCTAATGTGAATGTTCATATCGTCAATGTGAATGTTCACACTGTCAATGTAAATGTTCATATCATCAATGTGTAGGGGCTCGGCGCAGCCCGGGCCAGAGCCAACCCATGTAAAGCCTCGTGGGTGCTTGCCAAAATTCGGGCCGGGCCGGGCCGGTCCACGGGCCAAAAAATTAGGCCTAGGCCCTAGCCCCTAGCCCTAGCACAAAGGTATTCAGGCTTTGGGTCCCCCGGTGGGTCGAGCCAAGGGGCTTGGGCCTAGACTTGGGCTTAGGTCGGGCTTGGGTGAGCCTTGCCATTTTTTTAAATTTTTTCTCCCAAAATTTTATTATTTTCCAAAAAAAAAAAACACCGGGTCTCTGGTGGGTCGGGCCTCGGGCCGAGCCTTAAATGGGCCTTATGCGGGCCGAGCTTCAAAGCGATGGCCCAGGTCCTAGCCCAAGTTCTTAGGCTGGGCTCGGGCCCAAACGAGCTTGCCCCGAGCAGCGGGAGGGCTTCGGGTAGCCCACCGGTCGCGGGCCAATTTTACACTCCTATCAATGTGAATATTCACATTGTCAACAGGTCGAACCCGCTCCGGGCCGCGGGCCAATTTTACACTCCTATCAATGTTAATGTTAACATGTCAATGTGAATATTCACATTGTAAACGGGCCACGCCGGGCCCACGGGCGGGTTTCGGGCCGCAAGTCAATTTTACACTCTTATCAACGTGAATGTTGATATATTAATGTGAATATTCACACTGTCAACGAGTCGGGCCAGGCCGGGGGAGCCCACGGGCCGTGGGCCAATTTTACACTTTTATCAATGTGAATGTTAACATGTCAATGTGAATATTTACATTGTCAACGGACCGGGGCCCGCCCCGACCTAGGGGAGAGTTTCGGACCGCCCACGGGCTAATTTTACATTCTTAACAATGTGAATGTTAAAATATGAATATTTACAGCCTGTCCCGTCCCGGGCAATGGGCGGGCTTCGGGCCGCGGGCCAATTTTACATTCCTATCAATGTGAATGTTAACATGTCAATGTAAATATTCACATTATAAACGGGCCGGGCCCGCGGGCGGGTTTCAGGCTGCCCACGGGCCGCGGGCCAATTTTACACTTTTATCAATGTGAATGTTAACATGTCAATATAAATATTCACATTGTAAACCGGCCGGGCCGAGCCCGGGGGCAGGTTTTAGGCCGCCTACGGGCCGCGGGCCAATTTTACACTCCTATCAACATGAATGTTAATATGTTAATGTGAATATTCACATTGTCAATGGGCCAGGCAGGGCCGGGCCTGCAGTGGGCAGGTTTCGGGCCGCCCATGGGCCGCGGGCCAATTTTACACTTCTATCAATATGAATGTTAACATGTCAATGTGAATATTCACATTGTCAATGGACGAGACCCACGCCCGGCTCGGAGGCGAGTTTCGGACCGCCCACGGGCCATGGGCCAATTTTACATTCTTACCAATGTGAATGTTAAAATATGAATATTTACAGCCCGCCCCGCCCCGGGCAACGGGCGGGCTTCGGGCCGCCCACAGGCCGCGGGCCAATGTTACATTCCTATCAATGTGAATGTTAACATGTCAATGTGAATATTCACATTGTAAACGGGCCGGGCCGGGCCCGCAGACGGGTTTCGGGCCGCCTACGGATCGCGAGTCAATTTTACACTCCTATCAACATGAATGTTAATATATTAATGTAAATATTCACATTGTCAACGGGTCGGGCCGGGCCGGGGCAGCCCACGGGCTACGGGCGAGTTTCAGGTTGCCCACAGGCCGCGGGCCAATTTTACACTTCTATCAATGTGAATGTTAACATGTCAATGTGAATATTCACATTGTCAATGGACCAGGCCCGCTCCGGCTCGGGGGCGATCTTCGAACCGTCCACAGGCCAATTTTACATTCTTACCAATGTGAATGTTAAAATATGAATATTTACATTATAAAATTGTTAACCGTTCAACAAATATTTGTAAGGGTATCAAAATTAAATATAAGGGCATAAGAGTCTAAAAAATGAGTGTAAATCAAGAAAAAAGACTTTATGGAATAAAACTATATATACATGAGACTAAATGGGTTAATAAATTTCTTCATAGACTTTTTGGGTTAAAACACTTCTAAATGGGATTTATCAATAAAAATCCCAAAAAAAAAACCCAAAAAAAATTGTTGCCAAACACCGCCGTAATCTGGTGCAAGTAAAGCTTGTAGGTTTTTGTGGTAAGGCATGCTTACGCTCAAAACTTCCAACTACAAAGTGCAAACACAGACCACAAGAAAGGAAAATAGTAAAGGGGAAAAAAACTATGATTACCATTACAACATTTCTTTCTTAATTTTACAGATAAGAAAGGTTGCAAACACATTGGGCTTGTTTGGTTTGTATCTCAAATACAATTTTTGAGAAAAATTTTCAAAATTTTGTTTGGTTCAAATTTTTTGAAATTTTTTTCCAAAATCACTCTCTCCTGCACATCAATCAATCACTTTTTCTCTCTCCTCTCTCCCCTCTCCTTCTCAATCACTTTTTCTCTCACACATATCTACTCAACTACAACAAAATATCAAATCATCCAAAATTCCCAAATTCCAAAGCTATTTTTCAAAATATACAACCAAACAAACCAAAAAAAATTTCTTAACTCCCCCTAAATTTTTTTTTGAAAATTTATCTCAAAACACAAACCAAACACACCCATTCAATTCATGTAGAATTACTCATAAGTTTATATGCAAATATTTTCAAAATAGTAAAGTCTTTAGCCTATAAATATGTGTAATCTCAATGATTCAAGAAAAGAGTTAATACTATGAGAATTTGAGATTATGTTTGTGTGTGATTGGCCTAACCCTTACGAGGGTGAAGCACCTCTTCCTCTACTTCTTCTATTTCTTCTTCTTTGCGTACATACCCAAGATACTAGTCTCGGGTTGCCCACTAAAAGTACACTTTTCAGCCCCAAAAACCTATCTAATTACCTACAAATCAACCCTAATCCCCTCTCCTACCTATTCGTCTTCAATTTAACCATTAATCCCTAAATTACTCATTGCTTGGGCCTTTAACTAGCCTCTATTTAAAAATTGAGCAACCTATATCCTACATCACACTGTCAGAGGAGCTGATAAGACTTACAACTCCATCTTCAAGACAATCGATTGTGATAAGAGCAGCAGTGTCGACCTGGACAAGTTTGAGTCTAAGGTGAAGAAGTTCATGCTTGCAGTTGCCAACAAGTTTGGCTTGTCACCATTCGAATTGGACAACAACCAGAGCTTCCTCAAGCAAGGTGCTCATGGTCTCTAAGAATTATTGATTACACTTGTCAGTCGGTGCAAAAAAGTGCAATGCTTGTTAGGTATAATTGAACGATCTTGAGAGGGTACGCCAATCCCACATTTTCTGGAAAACTATAACCTATTTACCTTATATACTCTTGTACTTGTGATAGCCGCATGGAAGCTCAATTATTACCAAGAACTAAGAAGTAGTGATACAGACAACGGACATAAACATGACAAGATATCAAATAGTAAGAAATCATTTTCCACATTCTATTCTATGTATCGGAAAGGAAATGAGAATAAAAAGTCTTAATATCTTTGTTTAAAAAACTCTACTCACAAACAAATTAGACTTTTTAGTCTTTAGAGCTCCTAAATTAAAAAGCCTAAAGGATGAAGGTTTAATAGGTATAAATCCACATTGTTTTCATTTTAATCATTGGCTCCCAAGTTATTGCCTTCAAACATGCAGTTTAGTTTATTTTATGATTCGTAAGTGTTCCCAAAGTGTCCAAAGCGTTTCTTGGTTTTAAAAATATGAAATAATAATAAGAAGAAAAAGTTTGGAAGCAAGCACAACACCTTTTTAAGGGTTCATGCTTCTTCGCATATAAAGGATCAACCTCACTTAGTGGTGGGCTTAGATCCCAGGAGAAGCGGCGGGATCTTTCATGTAAATAGGAGACTGGATCTTACATGTGGATCGGGGGAAATGGATCCTACATGTTGATCCTGGAGATTGTAAGCACATTCTGTGGTTAAGTGTGAGTGCCATCTTGCCATGGTCCATCTATGTACCTACACTGTTAAAATGTACCAAAACCTACCACTACACCTACTCCACCCACTTCACCTACTCCACCTACTACTCCACCTACTACATACATACCTCCTTTAATCTTCTATATATAGGACTCATTGTAAACACAACATTCAATCAATCAATAATACAATCAATATCTATACAATTCTCTATTTTTCTTTATACATTAAATTTCTACATACACTAGTTTACAAACTACCTTCTATATCTTTTGAACTCACATAATTGCCAAAGACAGATTGCACCTCAAAGAGATACCACTAACAAATTGAGAAAAATATTCTTGGAACAGCTAATTTGGAGAGGGCATGGAAAAAATAAAATGGGTTACCTGACCGTTAAGGAGTCCAAGAGGAATTTCAACAGAATTCCCAGCAATTACTACTTGAACTATTTGAGCTGCAATACTTTGCTCCTGCTCAATTGAGAACTTTGTAAAGTAAGGAAGATAAGATGGAAAATCCCACATCAAGTAACCCAACTGTTTGAAAATAAAAGCATCAAGAAACAGCATGAACCATTTCGTCTCCTAGATGCCCTGTTACGTGATCAACAAGAAGCTGGAACTGGAGAGGGTTAGAACCACTGTTCCCAACACTCAACCCCGATACAAAAACAACATATTTGTCTTCTCCTGTTTGCAGTCAACACTAAAAGATTTCAGACAAAGCTTAAGGAACAGTCAGCAAAATGATCAAAATAACTTCCAAGGAAGACCATCCAAATGGTTGTTCCACAAACACAGTACCCAAACTTGGTTTAAATATTTGAGAAAAGATCAAACTACTTAAAGTTTAGTGCGCGTTTCCTTCTCTATATCCTTTTAAGAAAAGTATATGTGTTGGATCTTTAGACCAAACTTTCAGAAGTATGGCACATTTAAACATAGGATAAAAGACCTACAGAGCATAATACAAAGGACAAAAAATCATTTTAAACTTGAGGAAAATAAGACAGACCAAATACAAAAGGAAATGGCACAAAAATTTATGCAGACATAGCACCTCTTCTTTTATCAAGGATTCTTAGCAGTTCATATGAACTACAAGTCAACTGAAAATTAATTAATTGATCTATATCTTCAATTTTTGAACTTCAAAATATATATATATATAATATATATTATATGTCGTTGTGCCTAGGTACACCGGCCCTAAGATTTACGGGGCCTTAGGTGGTCTTCAAAAATGGGGCCCTTCTAAATATATTTTTTAATAAAAAATTTATACATAAAATAATAATTACCAATAATTTTTTAATGGTTAGTAACCACAAAAAGTTTCCTTACACTCATAATCATTAAAAAATTGTAAATTAAAATTTAGTTTCATATATTAAGATACGAAGAAATCATTACAAAGACTAAAAAATGATAAAATATGGCCTTGTTTTATAATTTAGCAATAATCAACACAAATAACATTATACACTATTATCTGATAATGAAATGATTATGTTGTTGTAATACGATATTTGATAACACAATCATAATCTATATAAATCACAATCCATTAGCTATTTGACAGCAAAACACAAATTATTGAAACAAAATTTGGGCAAACAAAATCAGGAGAAAAATTAAAGAAAAATTATTCAATTAAATTATGATAAAGCACAATAAGAGGGAAAAAAAATTAAGATAAAGCTATTTATTTTATTAAAATTTGATATATATATATATATATATAGAGAGAGAGAGAGAGAGAGAGAGAGAATAAGTTTTATTTTGGTAAGGCGGTGGGTTGTTGACATTAGACTCTATTTGGAGTCATTATATAATGTATATATATTTCAATTTGTTTGGACTGAATAGATAAATTTTTAATTGAGCCTAACAATAATTATATATTAATTGGGCCCAACCAAGAGAATTTTTTTGGGGCCTCTTAAACTGGGCCTCAAACAATAGAACAAGATTGAACCTATTTGAAGTTTTATATAGTACAAAATTAACAAATTTGGGGGCCTTTTTTTGGGGTCAAAATTTGGAAGCCCAAGGCTACAGGCCCTACTTGCCTTCTCCCAGGGCCAGCCCTGGGTACAAGATGGCTTGTGGTTGATTTGGGTTTGAAGTTTAAGATGCATCTCCTTACAGCCAATGGTTATACCTCAATGCTAATTATAAATTTAATTTTAAAATTCAATCTTACAGTTTTGCTTTGATCACATTTTGAAATTCTAAAGCAACAAAACATAATATTAAATGAAGGATAGGAGGTACATAAGGATTAAGGTGGACAAAAAGTCCACCAAAAAAAGAAAGAATGTAAGAAAAATTACAGGTCACACAGTACACCAAAATCAAAATCTGCAGGCTTTTTGTTCTATGCAAATAATTATCCCATGGATCATTTTTATTTTACGACTTCCTGAAAATTTTGACTCATATTTCCACCAAGTCCATGTGGTGAATATTATGGAAAGAAGAAAAAGAGTAAATCTGAAATTTCACATGAAGCACATTAGGGCATCAAGAATTAAAGATTTAGAATAATTTTGAGTCTTCATATTATAATAGTATGTTTTAGTAATCAAGGGTATAATGGTAATTCCAACAATTATTGGATATGGGTTGTAGGGGTCACCCATGGATTTTATTTGGGTCGAAGTAGAATTGGAAGTCATAGTTGGTCTAGAATATTAGTAGTTACTAAATACTTTTAGTTTCTAAATTTGAGAAATAGTCCTTATAGAATTAGGAGGCTCTTTATCCTATAAATATATGTATAATCTTAATGATTCAACAGCAGAGTTAATATTATAAAAATTTGAGATTGTGTTTGTGTGATTGGCCTATCTCTTGAGAGAGTGAAGCACTTCTCTCTCTCTTTCTTCTTCTTCTATCTAGTAAGGTTACTGTTCACAGTGCTTAGAACAAGCACCCAACTGCCCCTAAACACTTGTGTTTTCATTCCCAAAACCCTATCCTTTTATAAACCCTTAAACTCCTATTTTTTTAAATACTTTTGCAGCCACAAAATCCCACCAAATCCAGCACTACAAGTCTACTGTTGTTGCTGCCAATATACTTAACCCAGACTCACTACTTGTAGGAAAGTAATCCCTACTCGTCCTACATCACCATGAAATCTGATTTTGTAATCATCAACAATCCTATAAATCTTTCTCAGCAGCTAAAGTTTTAATCGCAGTAGAAAGCAAATACAGCCATCTCCAGGACATGTTCAACAAACTATCAACTCCTGGCGCATGGGCAACTGCAAATACCTGATTTAAGTGGCAGCACAATTTGGTTTGGTAAGCCAGCTTCTAGGATATCTTCAACCCAAAAATCACCAGCACCAGTTTCTTTCCCATGCAATGCAACCACTAGCCCTATCAAATGCATCAGGTCAGTAAAAGAACATACATACTTGAAGCAGATGGTGTTTTACAAGTTTTGAATAAATCAGCAAGCATATTATTACAACCAGGATATTGCCATTGGTAGTATGGGTTACTTGCCCATTAAAAAGAAACATAAAATATGTTATGTTTGTTAAATTATGTCCACCTAATGTATTATGGGTTACTTGCCCATTAAAAAGAAACATAAAATATGTTATGCTTGTTAAATTATGTCCACCTAATGTATTTCAAAACTCTACTCATACATAAAATTCATACAAAAAACTCCACAAGAATGATGTGCCAATGCCATTCTTGTAAATAAATTCATCTTCATGGATGTTTTGTTTCAATAGGAAAGGTCCACAATGAGTCACATCATTATGCATGAATTTTCTATTTGTATATCATTACTCAAATGTATTTTTATAACAATTATACATAATTTTCATTTCAACAGTTGAGAAGCTTTCGAGAGGAAAGCGGAGTGAGAAAGTCCGCACAAAAATCAGCTTGTAACTTACAAGGTCAGCCTAAGCATGACTAAGACACAACACGAACCTCAAGCTCAAGCACTTGATTGCTACACCAAGAAAAACTTCCTATTTCAGAAGCTGAAGAAAATTACCATGCCATCCCCGGAGAATTTTCCACTTTTATTATGATAAGCAGTTCATTATACAGACCTGTTACATACACAGAAGGTAATAGCACATTCCCACGAAGTTTAACTCTTCCACTTTCATCTTCCAAAACCAAATGATCATCTGGGTGTATAAAATTATGAGGTTTTACAAGTGGACCAGCAGATTTCTGCATATTACCGATAAAGTATAAAAACTTTATCATCTGTACCACAATCTCAATCTCAATATCTGAAAAGCAAAAGGGGAAAATCAAACACAGGAAAAAAGGACCTATATTGACAATAAATACCTCCTTAGAGTACTCATCAAGAATAGAAGGTTTGAGCTTCATGTGCTTGTAGAGGGTTCCAACAATTATGCATTCCTTGCCTTCTTCCAGTCCCAAAACTGTACAGACTGTGAGAAAACAATGCTCACTTTATCAGTTTAAGCCAAACCATGAAACTCAAAACTTTATCAACTAAAACATCTAATACTAGTGTAATAGTGAATGCATATTTTGCAATACATGTCATTCAAATCAAAAGCATAACTATTCATCAAAGTAATAAGAGTCAAAACAACCAACAAAAAGGAGCCAAACGACAAGTTGCAATTCATACATAAAAAGCATGGACACTTTGACGAAGGTGGCATTTTGAGTCAAACACCTACACTGGTCGGACACTTGTCAACATGAGTCAAACACGTGTCCAAACATGTTCTTTTTGTCAACCTTGGAAACACAGACACGTCTAAGAAGATGGTGTGCCCATGTTGAGCAAGGTGTTGGACCCTGACACATGTTGAACACTTCCAAACATGTGTTAGACACATGTCCAAACGTGTCCTATCTTTATTATTTTATACATATGCTTCAAAAACTTAGGGAACACACGTACCTATTGCTTAGACATGCATGCAATATATTCCAAATATGAAGAAAACAAATTGGGATCCAATTATTTATAAATTAAAATAATAAAAAAACAATGTAGAAGTGTAGCTATTGATCCCTCTTCCTTTAGATTTTAGGAATTATTCTTATGTTGCATATTTTTTATCAGGCCTTATGGCTGTGAACCACAAGTATATCATTGCCGAAGGTTCTCAACATTGTCCTGTGTTGGGGGTGTAAGATATCAAGTCCTGGGGCACTTAGACCATTACCAGAATAGGCATGATAGTTAGGTGTATGCCATGTACGCGAAGCCTTTGGCCGGCCCCACCTTAGAGTAGTGGTTGGGTCAAGGTGCTCCACTTAATCCCTATCTTTGGGCTTCTACTATTCACTTCTTATATGAACAAATGCGTCCAAAGGAGCTCAAGTTGATACAAGATGACCTCTTTGCCACCAAGAAGGTCAAGGACTTTCTCGAATGGTAAATCGTACAGTTGTGTCTAGCATTTTTTGAATTTCGACTTGACGCCGTATGAGTATCATGTTGAATGTCCGTTGTTTGCACTTCTTAGAATAATACCCAATAGGTAATGACAAGAATACCCTGACAATCCTATTCTTATGAAAATCCAACCACCCAAATACTTCCAAAAACAATGTCAATTGCGTAGTCAGCAAAATTATATAACCCACAAAAAACTATTGTCTCATACCTAAAAATTATCAGCTAAAACATAGGCAATGCAAACTTAATGCTTAAACTTCTAAAACGCTGTAGAGTTAGAATTTAACACAAGGAACACGAACAGGTCTAAACTTAAAAGCACAAAACTAGTGATAAGCCAAAAAATAAATAAACAAATAAATAAATGAAATATTTGAATTGCCCACAATATTAAGTAAAAAATAAATCTAAATGAACAGAAATTTAAGACAACCCAAAGTCCCAAATCCTTGTTAGTCAAATACACAGTAAAATTCCAAGTTCACTTCCATATCAACTCCAACAAAACAATGGTACCAAAAAAAAATGAATTCCAACTCCCGGACGAATTCCCCATAAATCCAAACCATGCCTAAACCTCAAAATTAGGGTATCTACTGAAAAATTATGCTATAAATCAAAACCCAACATACAAATTGAACTGCAATATCACAAATAGTGGCAAATGCATTAAATATACAAACTTGGAGGAGATAGCGAACAATACAAAAATGGCAGTTACCAGGCAAGTGGGGCTTCCAATTGGGAACGAGAGAGTAAAGGAGAGTTCTCATCAAGTGGAGCCGAGCAAAGTATATCTGGCTGTACTGCTGGCCCCTGTACATTTCCTTTTGTATCTCAAAGCTCTCATCCTGCAATGGACACAATGGAAAATAAAATAAAATTTGTCAGAAAAAATCTTGAAAATCTATAAAACAAAACAAATAAAAAGAGAAGATCGAACGAAGTTGTAAAAGAGAATTTGGAAATATTTCTTTTTGTCTGTACCATGGATTGATAGATAGATTGTTTTCTTTGGATGTTGCTCTCTGTGTCGACTTCCATGGCGGGAAACCCTGAAACTGCAACTGTTGCCTATTATAATCTGGGTTTTATAGGGCTTGTCTTTTTCGTAGTACTAGTGAAGGAACAATGTGCATTGCATGATAACGCGTGCCTGTAGTTTAAGGTAATGCATAGTTGTCATTGGGTGTGCTACTGCGCACAAGAGACTAATTGAAACAAAGAACATAAAACAGAAGCATTGATTCAGCATTCATTTTCTAATAAATTAAAGGGTGCCCCTCAATCTAAGTAGGTAATTAGTACAAAGAGATACAAATGAAAGGCTAAAATTAGACATGAACCTATTAAACATCATTATTTCATGCACATAAAAAGTTATTACATCCCTAAAATGGATGAATGGTATGTACGTAAACCAAAATGAAAAAATTGTATAATAAAAGTAATTTCATCAAACTAACCGTTGCGGTAAAACAACATTAAGAATATGAAATTAAAACTGAGCACTAGCATTGACCCTTACTCCAATGACTATAAAATAAGCTCTAATTGTAAATTATGTTAACCTTAAAACACTGAAAACACTGAAGAATATGCCACTCTGTGCTCTGTATGTTGGCAAGTGTAGATGAAAAAGAGACAACTTTTTGCTCTATAGGTAGGCATAGATTAAAAGAAGCCAATTGGTAATTAATAAAACACTAAACTCTATTAATTATTTTTTCCCAAAGATTGAGATTGCTAATGAAAATTAAGGACTAGAAATGAACTTGATTAGTCAATATTATTGGCCATTTTGCCTGCAAGTATTACATTTAGTCAATATAACTAGATATTTGTCGTATCCTCTGGTTCCTTCATAGCTTCTTCCATTCCCCTCCCTTGTCATTGCAGCCTTATCTTTCAAGGGCAAACTTGGAAAAACTATTCCTAAACAAAAGCAAAGGCAGCTCCATGGAAGATGGGAAAGTAGTAGTACTTGGGAGACTAATTAATTTCTCCTACCAGAAGAAAATAAATGGCTCAAACATGGCAGTTTGACATTGTAGCTCCAGTCTTCCAAGTTCAAACCTTCAACAACAGGGCCAGCCCTGAGATTTAGGAGCCCCTCTTACATTTAGAAAAAAACGAAAAATAAAAAATAAAAAATAAAAAAAGAAGTTGATGGATAAAGTAACAACAATATTTTTATTTGTTGGCGGCCACAAAAAGTTTACTTGCACGTATAATCATTAAATTATATCCTAAAATTTACGTTTTGCTTATAATTAAAATTATAAATCATCTGTTTGTTTCTTGGTACCAAAAGAATTTATCAAGCGCTCATGATTGAGATTGAATAAAAAACTTTTCTGCTTTTTGCTTCTTTTCTTCTTTTTTCACATCAGGCAATATGCTTCCTAGGAGCCATGACTATATAATAAAAAAATCCACAAAAATTCACAATCACTAACATCTGCAAATAATATGTTTTCAGAAATTAGAGCACAACAAAAATTATAGATTTCCATTAAAGCACATAAATCAGACACTTTTCTATTCAACCAAAAAGTCAAAACACCCAATCACATCACTCTCTACTTTTCTGCACAGAAGAAATCAAAAATCTAATTAAAATAGTTAATTCCCAAACCAACCTAGCTTCTCTTCTTATTTTCCTATTCTATCTGTTCTTTCTTATTTTTCTTTAATAAAAACAACAAAAACAAGAATATAAATTATTTGTTTGCACTTTATTAATCATTTTCTAAATAAACTGTGTGAACTGAATAGTACATTCACATGAACTAAATTGAAAATGTAGGCACACAAATCATGGCAAAGAAAATTAGTGAAGCGAACAAAAACTAGGGGGCAAAGAAATTAGGGCAACAACTTCTTCCATTAAAATGTGGCATATATATATATATATATACAGGGAGAGAGAGAGATAGAGAGGAAGGAGTCACTCACTGCTGGGTTGTTCTCGTGTTGGCCGAATCGCCGATGCTGTTATTGCTGTCGCCGGACCTGGAAACGGAAACGGAAAGTTGGTTGGTTCCCCTCGTGCGGGATAGGACGAGTTCCTGTGTTCTCTTATTCTCTCTCTGAACGCTGATGAATTCAATTGAATTTTATTTATTTATTATTTATTTTTGGGCTTTTACCTCTTAATTTATTAACTTATTATACTCTATTATTAAGTTTTAACTAAAAAAAAATTTAACCTTTAACTCTCATTAAATTTTTAATAATTAAAATTATTCTTAAAATAATAAATATTCATCATTTATGATTATTTATAAAAAAAATATAATAATTTGATTTTTAAAATTTAAAACATTAACTTCCAAATTCAAAAATTTTTAAAAACTTATATGCAAAAAAAAAAAAAAACTAATCTGTGTTTGATTTCAGTTTTTTGAATTCAATTTTTTAAAATTTGAGTTATTTGTTTTTCATATTTTTTATTTTTAGTAAATATTTTTAAAATTTTAAGTAATTTTTTTTTTTTAAGCACATTACTCTTTTTTTGTTTTGTTTTTTAGATGGTAACCAAACAAATAGTAGCAAAACACACTAACAAGCAACGTTAGCGGCTACAACTTCAAACAAGGCCTACGAGACCTCCTCTATCCATATGAGCTGGTGGTCCAAATCTCTCGCCATCCGAGTTAGACCATGTGCCAACATATTGCCCATTCGCCCCACATGGCAAACTTGAAAGCGCCAAAACAATCTACTAGCAGCCACCACTTGTGACACAAGATGACCATATTTCGATAAGAGCTCAACACCCTCCTGCAAAGCTTTGACAATATTTAAAGAATCCCCCTCTAGAGTAATATTCGAAAACCCCAAATCCTTCGCTAGCTCAATTGCTTTAGCTACGGCAAATGCTTCAACACAGTCGGCATCCACCCAGAATGGTAATTGCTCTATCATTGCGGCCATCACTTCACCCATTGAATTTTGAATAATGACACCAACCCCAACTGTTTGCAATTCTTTGAACCGTGCCCCATCAAAATTAATCTTAAACCAACCCTTCGCCGGAGCACACCAACGAACATCTCTATTCCCTTAACAATGAACCCTGAATTCTTTGTTGCGCTTGACCAAAATCACTAACCAAAATGCAAACCATGGCCACCGTTGCCTCAGCTGAAGCATGGGTATCACAAAAGATTACTTGGTTGCACCGTATCCAAAGACCCCAACACAAAGCAACAAACAAACCCTGAGTAGACTCATTCCCATGGTACATAACTTGCCAAAACCACTCCTTGAAGTCCTGATTATGGGCCCATTGTACTAGATTCCTCAGTGGACTTAGAGTCCACGCCTAGCCCGCAACATCACAATAACAAAGGCAATGCATCAATGATTCCCTATCAACCCCACAATTGGAACACATGTCTTCAATAGGAATTCGTCGGCTTCACAACAAAGTCTTTACTGGTAGAATATCATTACACGTCTTTCATGCAAACACCTTAATTTTATTTGGTAGATTAAGCTGCCAAATTTTCTGCCACAGCTTATCCCAACATGATCTACCCACAGAAGACTCCGTCGAGTGGGTGGCACTAATAATATTGCGGTGTAAGTAATAGGCCGAACGAACAGAAAAGGCCCCATGCTTCGTATAGTGCCAGACCAACATGTCCCTGGGAAAGTCCGAACTTAATGGAATTTGCCGAATAATCTTCGCATCTAGTGGAAGAAAATTGCATCGAATAAGTTCCTCATTCCAACATCTTCGATCACAATCAACAAGTAAACTCACATTAAAATCAGCAGACAAATTAGATGGTGGAGCAATTATCCTCTGTTTTTCCGAAAAACGTACAACTTGGCTCTGATACCACTTTGTTAGGATCAAACACACCCAGAGAATTATCTCACACACACAGAGAACACAATATTTACGTGGTTCGGCCCAATGCCTACATCCACGGACAGAAATGAGAATTATCACTAAAATGGAGCAAAAATACAAATACAGAGGAGGAGATAAAACTCACTCAACTCACAGCTCTCACACTCAATTTCTGATCTCTCTTGGTTCTCACTCTCTCTCTCTGTCCATTTCAACTCTCCCCTCAACCTCTATTTATACACCAATGAGGGAGAGCCTCATTGGTCACCACCTACCTTCTTCCACTCTCTAATGGGGTTGGTAGAGTGGGAGAGCCACTTCCATTGGGTGGAGAAAGTGGGCTCTCCAATAGGAGCTCACATGAGATGAACCAACACCTATACCAAATACGCCACAGAAATCCTCCCGTAACGATTCATCCAATCTTACTAAAATAAATTGACGATTTTGCCAAATTAATTTTTTGGCCTGAAGCCAACTCATATTTCTGCAAGATATCCACCATCACCCGAGCTTCTGGAACAGTCGTCGATCTAAAGAGTAGACTATCGTCAGCGAAAAATAAATGGGATATCGTTGGGCTTCCTCAACAAACTGTAATACCAGACAACTTAGACTCTTCCTCAATCTTGTGTATCAAAGAAGATAACCCTTCCGCACAAAAGACAAAGAGATACGGTGAGAGTGGATCACCCTGGCGAAGACCCCTTGAAGCTCGAAACGTGGTAGTCGGTTTCCCATTGAAAAGGACTGAAAATGATACCGTGGTAATGCAATGCATAATGAGATAAATAAAGTCATGATAAAAACCCATATGATACATCACACCATGCAAAAACTCTCATTCCACACGGTTGTATGCTTTGCTCATGTCTAACTTGAGCGTAAAATGCCCCTTCCCCTGGCGTTTATTTTTCATGTAATGGAATAGCTCAAATGCAGTCAAGACATTATCACTAATTAATCTCCCTGACATAAAAGCACTCTGATTAAGTGACACCACTGCAGGCAAGACAACCTTCAACCGATTAGCAAGAACCTTACTAACAATTTTGTAAATAACATTACATAAACTTATCAGACGAAAGTTAGCCATACATCGAGGTCTTTTAACCTTTGGAATCATGACAATATAAGTCTCATTCACCATCGAAACATCTTGCGCTCTGTTGAGAATACCAAGGACTGCTTCAGTCACTTGTCAATTCATAATTGGCTAGAAACGCTAAAAGGACAAAGCAGGTTTCCTATCTGGTCCTGGGGCCTTTGTAGGATGCATTTGAAAGAGGGCATGGTACAACTCCTCAATGGTAAAATCCTTAGACAACACTTAATTCATATCAGGTGAAACACAAGGTTTAATGGAATCCAAAACCGTATAAATACCTGGTGGGTTACTCGATGAGAACAAATTCTGGAAAAAATTCACCTCTATACTATCTAAATCTGTGGGTTCAATACACCAGTGACCATTCACATCTTCTAAACCCACAATCTGAGTGAAAGAATGCTGTATTCCATTCATCGTCTTTCAACCGATTTGTTATAGATCATTGAAACCACATTGTTTCTTCATTTTCTAACAAATCATCCACCTTCCTTTGAAGTCGTTCCTTCTTTGCCAAATCAATAATCGACACAACATTCGAGCTATCAAGAGTATGAATCACATCCAATTTGTGTTTTATGGTACGTTGTACATGGCCAAAAGTTTCCTTATTCCATCGCCGAAGTCGATCACTAACATTTTGCACATTCCAAACAAGCTCCTCCATTGATAAATCCACATTATACTCCTAACTCTCTTGCACAACCAATTTGTAGCTTGCATTGCGTAACCACATAGCTTCGAATCGATAGATTTTGGGCCACTTTCTCTGAATCAAATCGCGAGACTTCATTCCCTCAATATCTACTAAAATCGGCAAGTGGTTCACAGCCGTGCATGGAAGCGTATAAACCTTTGCATTTGGAAAAGATTGCTCTCATTCATCATTAGCAAAGGCCCGATCAAGACGCTCCTTAATTAATCCCAAATGCCGATTGTTGCACCAAGTAAACTTGGGCCCAGAAAAACCCAAATCTACCAATGAACAATCTTCAATCGCCGACCGAAACATATCAATCTAAGCTCTGTTTCTAGAGTGCATCCCCAACTTTTCATAAGAAAATAGAACCTCATTAAAGTCCCCGAAGACCAACCATGGATTAACAGAAAGAGGAGCTAGCCGTCTTAGTAACTCCCATGAATCCCGCCATTTAGAAACATCTAGATGCCGTAAAATCTAGTCAACCTCCAATGCATACCATCATTACCCGAATTGATCATAGCATCAATATGACCACATGAATAATTCTGAATTGTAACCTGAGTGTCACTTTTCCAAAAGAGGGCCAGCCCTCCTCCCAAACTAACCCGATCAACAAAAAAGCCACCCGAAAATCCAAACTTGCAATGTAACCTTTCCATTCTAGTCTTATTACACTTTGTTTCCATCAAGAAAACCACATAGGGATCTTCGTACTTCAAAAGAAGTTAGAGTCCCCGAATTGTGCGTGGGTTCCCAAGCCCACGATAGTTCCAACTTAAGCATTTCATTGATCTTAGCGGGGCTGCAGAACAGCCGCCGCCGTTTTTTGAGTTAGCGTTGACACCAAAAGAGTGCCATTGGTAGGACAAAGTTTTTTTCTTACTTTCTGTTCAAAACCTTCAAGCACACAATTCTCGGCACTTCGCTTTCCCCATGACTCCTTACTCACCATTAACTGACAAGAAGAGACATCATTCAATTGAACAGAACTATGAGCAAGGCGCTTCCATTTTTTCCTTAAGGGAACCGCTCCAGGTGCCGTCACAACCTCTCTTGAACCCAAAACCAAGGGTTGGTCAGGGCCCACATCCAAAATATGGCCCAAGTTAGCGAAAGAGTGGGCCATCACTAGACTTGATTAATACTCCCAACTTATGCCCCTGAAATGGTACAGGTGGGCCCTCAGGGACAAATGCCAACAGGTCTCCACTACACAACCTAGAATCACCATGCATATCACTCCCATCGAGGCCCAACAACCTATTTTCAATAGTTTCCCTACTTGAACAAACTTCCTTTGAAATAGGCGGGACCAACTTCTTTGCAACAGTCAGACCGAGATTTACGCCATGAGCACTGTGCTCCTCAATCCTTGCCACACATTCCGCGTAAATTGAAGAGGACATTGGATGTTGAACTGCTCTAGT